TGGTCTCAAAGCTCATGCCAGATGCTTTGTTATGACAGCACCGCACTTCTAGGTATAGTTGTTGTTTTGGCTCTTAATTGCCATGTAACAAACCATCCCAAAACTCAGCAGCTAAAATAGCAAAATCATTCTCCTGATGCTGTGGGATGATGAGGCAATCTGTTTCACATGGTGTTGGCTTCAATGGTGGGATGGCTGGAAGGTCCAAAATGCCTCAATCACAGAGCTGGCACTTGGGCTGGCTGCTGGCCTGGAGCTCAGCTTGGGCTGGTGACCAGGGGCCTGGCCGCTCCTCCACCCAGCCAGGTAGGCTTCCTCACAGCAGGGTGGCTCAGTTCTAAGGAGGAACCTTTCAAGCACATGAACGCAGAAGCTACAATTCTCTTTAGTCCAGCCTTAGAACCCTACACCATTTCTGTCCCATTGGATTGCTTCAAAAAGGAAACAGGGCCAGCTCAGATCCAAAGGGAGGGGAAACAGAGAGTCTATCTCTTGATGGGAGAATCACAAAATATTCGCAGCCATCTTTGATCCCCCATAGGAAGTCGTGAGTATTTAAGTAGTAGATAGTGTCATAGAAATGAATTAATAACTCTTCGAGAGAGTAAATTTAGTGAGTGAATAACAGAACTTTTCTCCCCTAGATAATATATCAGATGAAGGACTACCAGACACAGAACAATAAAGGGGGAGAGAGAAGCAGGGTCAATGAAATAAAGGAGAAGCGCAGTATTTCTGGAACACAAAAACCAAAGAGTTTCAAGGAGAGAAGCTGGCATCATAGTCCAATAACACAGAGAAACCAAAGGAGAACAGAGAGGTGTGATACCATTCTGCAACCTCTTACCCAAAGCAGTAGACTGGTCTAAGAAACAATCATAAAACTATTCTAAATATTAAGATTTATATGATTAACCCTAATCATTTAAAGCCCCAGGAGAAAGTTACTGAATACGGCAATTAAAACCATGGGAACAACCTTAGATATCCTAATAAAAGCTCAGTTGCTCTGAGTTTTAAGGAACATTCTTTTTTAAAATTATTTTTTTGCATTGTTTAAAGTACTACATCTGTCTCCTTTTTCCCCGATTGACCACCCCAGCCCCTACCACCCCCCAGGACAAGCCCCCACCGCCCCAATGTCTGTGTCCATTGGTTATGCTAATATGCATGCATACAAGTCCTTTGGTTCATCTCTTACCCCCCTACCCTCTCTTTGAGGTTGGACGGTCTGTTCAGTGTTTCTTTGTCTCTGGATCTATTTTTGTTCATCAGTATGTGTTCATTATATCCCACATATGAGTGAGAGCATGTGATAGTTATCTTTCTCTGACTGGCTTATTTTGCTTAGTATAATGCTCTCCAGGCCCATCCATGCTGTTGCAAATGGTAAGAGTTCCTTCTTTTTTACAGCAGCAACGTAGTATTCCATTGTGTAGATGTATCACAGTTTTTTAATCCATTTGTCTGCTGATGGGCACTTAGACTGTTTCCAGAACATTCTTTACTTATCCTTGTTTCTCACAGTCATGAAATAAATCATGTATTAATTAAAAAAATTTAAAGGCAGACTGACTTCTGCGTGCAGTGCCTCATTTAAATGTCTGGAGTCTTGAAAGCTTGACTGCACTATGTTCTCCTAAAAATGGACTTGAGAGGTTGTTTGGAGGTTCTAGCAGCTACTCATATACCCTTGACTGAAGACCAGTCGTCTCCTCTGGGAGGAAGGTCATCTACTTTGGGAGGGATGAATGTGGACCAGTGAGGAAGGAAGGGGACACCTGCCTAGCCAGCCAGATCAGGTGAATCAACCCTGGCGATCAACAGGGTGACAGATGTCAAAGCCAGATTGCCCTCCCATCCCATCATGTATTTAATTTAGATGGTGATTATCTCACAGGAAAAACCCTCTTAGTTTTTGGATGTTTTTAGTGAACTACCAAATTAACTAGAACATATTTAAAGAAGTTGCAGCCACATGATTATAATATTATTTGTTGAGCATACACCACCAGTGGCTCATAATTCTTAGAATGTGTATCTTCAAGCCCTTCTCCCCGACCTTCATTGTTTACAAAAATGTCTCCCTGACATCCATCTCCACCTCACAGTAAGAAAGCCATAAAATAGAGCCAAACTCAGTGCCTCTGCAGTTTCTTGTGAATCATACATGCTCTCCTTTCAAATGACTGGCTGAAAGCAGAGATCATCATTCCATTTGCTTCTCCTAATTCTTCCATAGGTGACCTACCTTCACAAGAGCAGAATCATATGGACTATATACTCTAGGAAGAAACCAGAGAGATTTGTAAAGTCCAAGTCTTTACAAATAAGGAAATGAAAGTTCAGAGATGTTCAAGTGGCTTCTCTAGGGTCAAAGGGTAAAAAATGAGCTTAGGGCCAAGTTTCTTAATTTGAAAAGAATTGGATGGTTAGCAGTACTGATTCTGGACATGTAGCCTAATTAATAATAGACCTTTCTAATAAAAATAAAACAGGGTTTTGGAACATGAAGCTGCAAATATAGTCCAGAACAATTCTATGTTATAATTTTTCAACTATAATTCAAAATGAGATCTTCTTTTTTAACTTTGGAGCAGACAAACCAGTGTATTCTTGAAATTCTTAAAAATATGAGTGACTCATCTTAAACCTTTCTCTAAAGTTAACATTTACATGCACTCAATTATGGAGGCTAGAACTTGGGATACCAAGGAGATACGAGGCCTTGTTCTGCTTTCACAGGATTTATATTCCTACTAGAAGCCCAGCGCACGAAATTCATGCACGGGTATGGTCCCTAGGCCTGGCCTGCAATCAGGGCCTTCTTCCCCAGATGCCGGCCCAACCCCCCACTGCCACCCACCACGGGGTCCCCTCCACCATTGGGCGATTGGAGCCTGCCAGACGGGGGGGAGATACCAAGAGGTTGGCTGTTCCGGCCGGCTCGCCGGCCCCGCCTCTGGTTGCCCTCTATGTTGGGGGCGACTGGCAGGGTGGGGGCCTTGGCCTGGTGCCACCCGTGTCCACCACCACCCACCGTCAGTTCCCTGAGCACCATCAGGTGATCGGAGCCTGCCTCCCGGGGGCAGGGACCGAGAGATTGGCCTACAGGCCCCGATTGGGCGATGGGGGCATGTGGGCTGGGGGTAAATCCTGCATTGAGTGTCTGCCCCCTGGTGGTCAGTGTGCGTCAGAGTGACCAGTTGTTCCGCCATTCAGTTGATTTGCATATTACCCTTTTATTATATAGGATTGTGGAGGGAAAACATGCATAGCTGAAAGCACCCCATCTTATAGTGTCACTTCTATGCCAAAATGGGTACGATGAAGGCTAAACCCAAATAGTCCTACATTTGGTTCCATACAAACCAAACAACCCAAGAGACTGGGTGAAACATAACTGAACAACAACACTTGTCAGAGAGGGGTCAGAACATTAATCTGTTCATGTAACAAATATTTACAATGCCTACTATGTGCCAGGGGGAGTTCTAAGTGGTCGGGGAAATACAGGTATGTCAGATAGACAAGACCCTGTTCTGACGGACCTTACTGGGTAGTAAGGAAAGAGAGATGATAACCAAGTAGATAACACAAAGTCAGAAACACTATGAAGACTCTAAAGCTACGTTAGGTTGGAGAGTCAGGGAAGGCCTCCTTGGAGGGACTGCCATTACAGCACAGATCCCAGATCTAAATGGAGCCAGACGTGATGATGCTGAGGAGGGTCATTCCACGAAGGAGTAAGAAGCTCAGGGTATGTGAGGATCAGAAAGGAGGCCCCGCGGCTGGCATGTCAGGAGCCTGTGGAAAGAAGATGAGTGACAGAGGGCCGGCAGCCAAGGTAAAGAGTTTGGATAATGCACAGTTCAGGAGTGACAGAAAAGCCACTGAAGAGCCATACGTGCAGGAAGAGTTGATATGAGCTTTTAAAAATTTAGAGTCAAATCAATGAATCAGCAGGGAAATGTGGCTATACTCAAAAAGTCAACGGATCTGCATCTTCATCTATAAAAAGAAGGGTGTTCAGAAAACCAGGGAACAGACCCAATGTGCTCACCACTGCTCCCCCTCGACTCTACGCTCAGGGTGACACACTTTTTTTAAAAAAATATATTTTATTGATTTTTTACAGAGAGGAAGGGAGAGGGATAGAGAGTTAGAAACATCGATGAGAGAGAAACATCGATAAGCTGCCTCCTGCACACTCCCCACTGGGGATGTGCCCGCAACCAAGGTACATTCCCTTGACTGGAATCGAACCCGGGACCCTTCAGTCCACAGGCCGACGCTCTATCCACTGAGCCAAACTGGTCAGGGCAGGGTGACACACTTTTAAGACATATGTTGTACTCACACTAGAAAGTCATGCTATTTCATACAGTGCATAAATCAAAGTCAAAAGCTCTGCTACAGAGCTAATCTAAGATTAATCTTCTATAACTATAAAAGAAGAATGATGTTTGCAGGAAGCAACAGAACACAGGACTTATTTATTTCTGACTTGCCTATTCTCAGAAAGCATGGCCATCTATTACTTATGAAAACCTGGCAAACCAATTCTATGCATTAAAAATACCACCTTAAACAAAAGTCTGAAAAATACAGACATGGAGTTATGCAGTCTAAGTCTGTTGGAGACATTATATTCTTTAGATTTTTAATGTTAAAAATGAAAAAATCTCTCTCCTCTCTCCCTCTCTCTCTCTCTCTCTCTCTCTCTCTCTCACACACACACACACACACACACACACACACACACACACTTTCCTATATACAAAATTGACAAAGCACAGTAAAATAACATTTTACCAAACTGTATATAGATTTAATTTTCTGTTTAACTGGTTTAAAAACATCAGGATTTTACTCATGTCATCTATAAAAATAGTTATATTTTTTTACATACTAAGTATTCATTATTTGTTCGCCCCAAGCTACCAATGTAATAGTAATTATCTTTACCATGTGTTCACAATTCAGAATATTAATCTTACCCTATGAATGCTGGTCAACCGGAAACTTTGCAATTAGTTTCTATTTGAAAAATTCCTAAAGAGAAATCATAAACATATTGTTATATTTTACGCATCACGGGACTCCAACACAATTTGTCAATTTATATGGTACTAAAACTTTCAACATACAAAAAAGTAACTTTTTAAAAAATTGAGTGTTGCCCTAGCCGGTTCGGCCCACAGACTGAAGGGTCAAATGTTTGATTCTGTACCTCGATTGCAGGCTCAATCTTTGGCCCTGGTCGGGGCATGTGCAGAGGCAACCAATCGATGTGTCTCCGTCACTTCGATGTTTCTCTCTCTCTCTTTCTCTTTCTAAAAATCAATGGAAAAGATATCTTCGGGTGAGGATTAACAAAAAAATAAATAAGAAAGTGAGTGTTGCTAAAGAGATCACCTTCTGACCTCTCATAAAAGGTGTTAACTAATACCCAGGGAAAGAAACAAGTCACTATCAGAAATCACAGATTTAATCTCATCACCATGGCAACTTATAAAGTGTAGAATATGAACATTAAATTTTTAGTGAAAAATGAGATAAGCATTATATCTAAGGCACCACTCATTTCATAAATAAAAGATAGAAACACCAATTGAAAATATTTATGCTTCTTACAGAAAAAAAGGAAAACATGGGGGAAGGAAGAAAGATTTAATATTTGAGATTGTTTTCTCATTCCAGGTTTTTTTGTTTTATTTTTGCTGGACTGGTAATTTTACACAATTGTGCCATTGTAAAATTCAATGGCAAAACACAGATCTCCTTTGCCTCACCATTTATCATAGTTTTTCTCGATGTTAGTTTCTCCAAACATAATTCATACATGGGTATGTCATAGTTTACAAAACCATTTCGCTACAGAATATTAGATCTTTTCTTTTTATTACTAATAATGTTGTAAACATTTCTGTACTCTGGTCATATGATTTCTTTTGCATAGACTTTGAAAGTGAGATAAAGAGCATGAATATTTTAAGGCCTCTGATACGTAACATCAAATTATTTCCCAAGAAGGTTATGCTAATTTTCTTTCCTATAAACAATATATCAGTAGAACTTTCACCAGATGTTAGAATCACCATTAAAAAAGGCAAAAAACAAACCAATCCCAACAACAACAAATAAAAGACACTTCACTAATTCCATGAAAAAATGATCTTATTATTGCTTTATTTTGCATTTCTTTGTTTAAGTGGGGTTGAACACTTACCAATGTTTTATTAATGAGTTTCATTCCTTTTTCTACTTATTTACCTAAACCAGAGGAATATATTGCCGAGAGATATAAATGTAGAACTTAAAAAAAGCTTTCTCAGAATGACAATCTGTCATCTCAGAGTGCAACCATTGCTATTAGGTAAACACACACACACCACACAACAACAACAACAAACAAAATATACTTCAGTTTCTTTATTCAGGCTAAAGCCAAATCACTCTAATTTTAGAAACCATAGCAGAAGTTATCGGCTTTCTTCCTCCCCAGCAGCAAACAAAAGTACAAGTTGGAAGGATGAGCATGCAAAAATACTAAATGGCAATGCTTCTCAGAACAGAATAAATAGTCCATGTGAGGCAGGATAAAAACAAGCCTGGGACTCACAGTAATTCTGCAGACCCAGCTGCCCAGAGACAGCATCTGTGGCTTCTCCAGTTTGCTATGCTAATGAATGTTACAAAACTAGCATTCTCTCCTCCCTCAAAAACATTTTCTTTCCCCAGCAGCAGGGCACAGGACATATATTTTCACTTTAAAAGTCAATTCCCGAAAGTCATCTCTGAATCTGGAAGACAAGCAAAACACTGAGACTTCCCTTTCTCAAGTAAGAGCTTCTGTTCAGAAGGTTCCCCAAAAGAGATTGATAAGGGACTACTCCCCAGTGACTATGGCTTAAGGAACAATAGGGGCAACCAGCCTTCTTTTTTTTTTTTAAATATATTTTATTGATTTTTTACAGAGAGGAAGGGAGAGGGATAGAGAGTTGGAAACATCGATGGGAGAGAAACATCGATCAGCTGCCTCCTGCACACCTCCCACTGGGGATGTATCCGCAACCAAGGTACATGCCCTTGACCAGAGTCGAACCTGGGACCTTTCAGTCCGCAGGCTGACGCTCTATCCACTGAGCCAAACCGGTTAAGGCGAACCAGCCTTCTGATAGAAAACAAAGGCCCCAAGGTTTTTACTGTGAAAAGTGAGAAGCCTGAATGCTCTTATTTCTTGCTTGTCAGTAGAAAGAATGGAGATTGACAAAACAAACTCTCTTGTAGTAAATCGAAGAACTACTGTAAAACTTTGGAATCTGAGAAGGGCTTTCCATTTGGGTGAGTTTGTCTGTTAGTGAAAAGTAAAATTCTACAATTAAAGATTTGGCAAGAAGTCAAGAATCTTCTCATAGTCACTCGATGTCGTTTTGCAGGTCATCAAATACGGCAAGAATCACTGCAATATCCTAGTCACTTTGCTTTGTGCAATTCCGAAAGGTTAAGGCTTTCAGGGATGTGAAATTAAAGTGTCCCATTTCATCAATTTGAAAGGAACATTTCACTTTACCATCTGTCCCACCCTGGGATCACGTCCATGAATCACTTCCCTGAGCCACCCTGACCGCCCCAGGCTGACGCCACTGCTCTTCCATCTCTGTCCCTGGAACACTTTACTAATAGTTCTCTCACACTGTTCCGCAAGCAATTGCCTCACGTTCCTTGGGGACTGGGGCAGGACCCCTGGGACCTACCCCAGTGTCTCTTCCCAGTGATAGATTGAGGGCCTGGGTATCACAGTGGCTTCCATGCACCGATTCATCAAAGGGGTGTTGAAAACAACTCTGGAAACTGAATTAGATTGAACAAAAATAGTATCTACCAGAACCTCTCTCAGGAATTGTTCAGAATGTGGTTGGAAGGAAAGATAAGGAATCTGCTATTTTACTTCTGGCCCATTGAGATCCTGGGAACGGGCAGAGGGGGAACCAGAGGGCCTCTTTGGCTACGCTCTTCCCTGTCATAGAGTGCTTGCCTTCTCCTCTTAACAATGTCATGAACCAGGATTTAAAGAATGCCAGTCTGAAGTGACATCAAATCATCAGCCTGCCCAGGGTAACACGTTACTTGCTCACCTAGAGCGACCCCCTGTCTAGTCCTGTCCTGTCCTGTCCCCACCATTAAAAAATTAGTAAATAATTACTGAGTGAACAAATAACACTAGATCAGGATCAAACCCCATTAGGAACCAAGGGTTCAGCAGGCCTGGCTCTCTGAAAGATCTGTGAACACACTGGTGCACTCACGATGGGTCTGGAAGGGGGCACACACAGTGGAGGGGACAGAGCCTCACGCATTGCCATCACCCTGGGGCAGAAGCAGATGCTAAGCCTTCATCCTACAGCAGCGGTTCTCAACCTGTGAGTCGCGACCCCTTTGGGGGTTGAACAACCCTTTCACAGGGGTCGCCTAAGACCATTTGAAAACACATATATCCAGTGGTTCTCAACCTTCCTAATGCCGTGACCCTTTAATACAGTTCCTCATGTTGTGGTGACCCCCAACCATAAAATTATTTTCGTTGCTACTTCATAACTGTAATTTTGCTACTGTTATGAATCGTAATGTAAATATCTGATATGCAGGATGTATTTTCATTGTTACAAATTGAACATAATTAAAGCATAGTGATTAATCACAAAAACAATATGTAATTATATATGTGTTTTCTGATTGTCTTAGGCGACCCCTGTGAAAGGGTCATTTGACCCCCAAAGGGGTCGCGACCCACAGTTTGGCGACCCACAAGTTGAGAACCGCTGCCCTATAGGAAGGAAGGAAGAAAATTCGTAGCTGACAACTTCCCCACCACAAGTGACATCTAACAAATCGGAATGGAGAAGTGCTGTCAAACTCAGCATGACTGGCTGCTTTAGAATGATGGCCAGTCTTGTTGAATCAAAGATGGGTCACTGGTTAAATGCCACAGCATTCCTGAGTAACCTTAAAATCTTGCCCAATAACTTCACAGTTCTTCTTTTATACAAGTTAACAGTATAATGCAACAGGAATAATGCCGGAACCAATGGAATTATCAAGTTATCACCCAAGCAAGGATGGTATGCATCTTGCCCTGTTCACCTTCCCCCGAGACCAGGGTTCTAGGACGGCAAGGACATTTCTTGTTTCCCCAGAGCCTGCCACATGGCAGATGCTCTATATGTATGTCATTCCCAAACCCTGGGAGCTATGATCAAACTGACAGCATTGCAGGTCCTTGAATGGTGTCAGTCTTATAAAACCAGTAACTTCTCACAGGGATCACTGTAAAGATTGCTACATCTGGTATAACATATTCTTAACCCAATGACAAAATTCAAATTGCCATGCACTGCAAATCAGCCTAATGTTTATCCTGAGCTCATTTCTGACCACAAAATACAAAGGTTTAATGCTCACCAAGTAGTAAATGACCATTAAACACAAAAGATGTTTTAAATGGACACTGCTGTCCATTGACGCCCAAAACATGTAATTGCTCCATACCTCATGCTTCTTCAGCATTTAGGGAGTGTAGATAGTTCTTACGACACTTCCATTACTCTTCAACACGAAGAGCTGGTTAGATGCCTTCCTGCCTCTCATTTTTGGGCTCTTAGAAGAGCTCCGTGTACAGGACAGGACCCAACACACAAGAGATTCTCAATTGTTGAATGGAAAAAGGAGGCAGGAGATGGAAAGGGGAAGGCTACGATTTACTGTGTACTTAGTGAGGCAGGTATTATGATCTCAACGCTGAAGGTGAGAAAGCTGAGGACTGGAATTTGCTCAAGCTCACAAAACAAACCCAGAATTCACACCAGCTCTAAGAGCCATCTGCTACAACCGCCCCTCCAAGGAGCTATGTAAAATGGAGTTTTATATAGAATATGACATCCCTCCTTTTAAAAAATCTGCAATCTGTCTTTTAGAGAAACTAAAGACACACTCTAAAAAACTCAGATCTATATAGTTTTCTAGCTCATTACTCAGTGTTCCATTTAGTGGAA